ACTGAGTTTAGGGCAGTGTCTTTAAGAACTGCTGTGACCTGGGTTTCTGATCCATCAGGCAGGGTGTCTGTGATTCTGAGGCTCAGCATCACTGAACCTGGGCAACTGTTTCTACTGTCTCTTGTCATCCATACCAGGGGATTGTTGTCCAGGTTCAGTCTTAACTTCCACAACCGTGTCTTGCAGCAGGCCCCAAATCCCACCCCAGGCACAGACTCTGTGCATTCACGGCACTCACACAGAGCTTCCTCTGTGTCCTCATAACAGGACACCCACCCTGTCCTACATCCCTCCACCAGGGACTTCATGGACCCCCTCATGGGCTTCAGTGTCCTCAAGGGGACATCTGTCTATGAAAAGTGTTCCAGTCTAAACTGCATTCCCACCTCCAAGTCTTATTGCATCCAGTACCTCATCCACCTCCACACGGTCAGGGTCTTTCTTTTTTACTCTAGTGCATTCAAGAATTTTCCCATTTGATCACTATAGGGACAACATTTTATTTCATATACATTGTAGATGAGGAAACAGTAATGGAGAAAGTAGAACTCACTCTCTCACCCACAGTTAATACAAACCAGGCTGAGTCTAGGAAGCTCCCACATCTTCAGGGATCCTTGCATACTAACAAGCTGCCTCCTGTCACATTCCCCTTTCCAGGCTCTAACACTGTTTGATGCTGCCTCCTACCCAAAAGGCTGCATCCCCTCAGGGAGGAAGAAGAAAGGTGGACCACGTGACCTCCACCCTGTGCATTGTTTCTCTCTGCTACCACCTCCCAGTCCTGGTCTTCTCATGGCCCCACATGTGATGGGGAACCCAGGACAGCCACTGCAAACAGTATGAGGGCAGGTGAGGAGACTCTTGGGAGCTCAGGGGCTTGGAGCAGTGCAGTGCAATCAGAGTATCTTACCTGAGCTGAGCTTTCGGGCAAGGCACTTGGCCAACCTGCATCCCTCAGCCAATTGCTCTTGGAAGCCTTTCCGTTGGGAATGCTCAGCATCATCATGGGTGAGGTGGTCCTAGAGGTGCTTATTGAGTAGTTGGGAAACATCTTTCCCCTCCCGTAACTTCTGATACAAATGGGTCAGTTCTTTAGCCTGATATTTAATTAGGATATAATATTGCCTAAGGTGGGACAGAGAGAAAATTGTAAAATGCAAAGAGTTGAATAATAGATTATACGAGCTTTTGTGAAGATTTCTGGCAGAATTTCCTCAAGGAGCCCTCGATGCAGAATTCTGGCCTCTGTGGTCACCTGTCTGTGGCAGAGAAAGCAGAAAGTTAATCAAGGCCTCCTCTCTATCAGAGTATGCTCCTGTTCATGGCCTGGACATCCTGTGCAACTTTCCTTCTGTAAACAAAGCCAGGGGTCCTCCAAAGCACACTTCAGAGAGATGCTCCTTCCGCTGCTCACTTGGGGCACACATTTCCCTGGAAAGCTACATATAGTGCAGCGTGTAGTGAATGGACACAGCACCAGACACAGAAGCACCAGGCACAGGACCAGACTCAGAAGCGTGGACAGTGCAGCTGGCATTAACTGGTGGGTGCAGGAGAATGGCAGGTCAAGAAGACAGCATTTTCTGAGAGAAAGGATGGCAGGCTGTAGTCAGCCAAGTCCTCACAGTGTGAAAGGTAAATGAGGTGTTAATCTCACAACACTGTCAATGTGCTAAATGTCACAAATTGTTCCCTTGAATTTGGTGAATTTGATTTTTTTTTCAAAAGAGAGAATGAGGCTCTGAGTCATCGGAGTCTGTGGTTTACTAATCACTGTTGCCTAAATTATTTTAGATATGTTTGTATAGTGTGCCTGCCATGACGGTTTCTGCCCTTCTCCAGGCCCAGACTTCCTGCTACCCCAAGTCAGAGATGCCCACAGCTTCCCTCAGCCACCCACACAGAGCCCTCCTTACCTGAGCTTCTCAGCCAATGTGTCTGCCTGCTTGCCTGTCTCAAACAGCATCTCCTTCTCCAACACAGATTCAGTGATGCTGGTGGACTGTTCACACTCTGAGAAACAGAGATGGCTGCCTCAGTGGAAAGCTGGACATGCTGCTAAGCTCGCTGCCTTCAAGGGAGGAGGCAGGCTGCACCCCACGACAAATGGAACCCGGCAACCAGGCTCTGTGCTGGGAGCTCCACGTCTCATTCCTCAGCCTCCCAACTACAGGACACTGGATTACTCCCTGTTTTAGATCCCAGGAAAGAACAGCCTCAGGGCACAGAGAGGAACTAGATGCCCTGACTAACTGGTATTTGGCAGAGTTGGAATTCATATCCCCTGACGCCAACCCTGGTCTTGGCCACTTTAGCAAGCTTTGCAGACTCTTAAGGAAAACACTAAGCAGGGACATGATATCAGGCCCCCAGGACTACAGGACCAATGAATCCCCTGAGCTGGGATTTCTATAGTGAACAAGTGTCTCAAAGGTAAACATTCATCCAGATAGAACTGTGTGAACTACAATGCATAAAACCAGAAGGACCTGAAAGGACCATGGCCAAATCCTAATAAATTTTGTGTCATTAGAAATACTAGAATTATGAACAGAGTTTACATGGTGCCAGACTCTGCTGTGAAAGCTTTACAAGAAATTATTCAGTATTCATTTTGACTCTGAGAAGAAAGTCTTTTGACAGTAATAGAGGCCCAGGAAGATAGGCAGCATTGATTTGAGTCCAGGCCGACTGACCCAATGCCCATGCTCTTCACCCCTGTGCCATGTTACTTCCACCCATGACCTCAGTAATAAAATGTTTTCATCATCTTCCCAACTGGTTTTCCACAGCTATGTGATGATTATCAGGAAAGTTGGAATCAAAACTTTGTTGTTCTTCACTAAAAGCTCATCATCTCTTCACTTTCTCTAGAGCAGGTTCCAATTTTTGCTTTTTTCAGCCTCAGTCATTTTTAATTATACCTCCCCTTATTGTATTGAAAGCAAACTGTGAGAAAATGACAAAAATTCAGGCTCATAGTTGTCAGGATTCCTTCCTGTCATTCAGCTGTGCACGTGCCCCATTCTCATGGTTCCTTCTGTCACCACAGCCCCCTCCTAATGAACAGGCAGCTGAACTCCCCATTTCAGGATGACTCTGGGGGAGGGCTTGCCACACACACTGGCTTGGATGGTTTCTGGGGCTGTGGTTTCCCCACTCACCCTCATTCTAACTTGCCCACATGTCTCATGGTCCAGGCCTGGAACTGCTGCCTGTCCTGCCTCACTGAAGGTTCCCCAGCTCAGGCAGGGACAGAGGAGGTAGCACAGATTGTCTGATGTTCCCCAAAATACCCCCAGCCTTCCCACTGGGTATCAAATAGCCTCCATGTACTCGGGAAGCAGAGTCTGAGCAGGGGTTCCCTCTCAACAAAGGGGTCACTGTGTGGATGGTGTCCCTCATGGATACCACAGTTTCAGGGAAAGCAGACCCCACTTCCATCTCATTGAAAGTAGATCGTGTCACCTGCTATAGTTCTCTCCCCACCCCACAAACCTGGCACCGTGTGTACAATCAGCATGTTTCCCCACTGTAGGTAGCTTGGTGCTTTGCCAATGGGACATCAGAGAAGCACGACTTGAAGCACAACCTTAGTCCCAGACACTTGGGCCAATGGTGATGAAGGATCTGCTACAGGACAAAGAGGATCCTGACAGGACCAGTCATCTCTGTGTCTGCACCAGGAATCAATCACTGGGATGAAAACTCTAACCCAACCTATAGGTCACTGCTAACCTGGTAACTGTCTTCAGTTTTCCCATTCTCAGCAAACTGAGGGTCACATACCCACTCCTAACTTTCCTGTATTGTGGTCAGAATGAAATTTAGGGTGACATTGGAAATGGAGAAGAAAGCATCTGGAGAGAGAGAGAGAGGCTTTTCATTTCTTAGAAGGAATACAGACAGCCATGACTTTGGTGGCCAGGACCTTGTAGGACTTACTGTATTTGTGCAGTTGGTTGACCAGGGAGTAGGCAATAGTTTCTGATATAAAGAGTTTCTCCTTGAAGTCTCGGAAGTCCTGCTTGATTTTCTACAGCTGCGATTGAAGCTCCAGTTTGATTTCCCAGAGGCTGATTTCTGCCCCTGCCTGGGACAGAATGGCCCTCTGGCCAAGAGGTGCTGCCACGGTGATGTGTGGCAGAAAAGGTAGAGCTGGGGTCTGAGGAGAAGAAACCCAAACACACAATGGGTTAAATTCCAGTGACATTAAGTTGGTTTAATCAGGACTGAGAGGTAAAGATACAGAAATTCTTTACTTACTGTCAGGAACAGTTCAAAAAACACCCCACAGCACTTGAGAGTCAGTAACCACAAAAACAAAGTTCAAGATGGCAGAGGTGTGAGCTGGAGGCACTGCTCGCATAGCTCAGACTCCAACCGGAATGACCAAGGGAGCACCCAGAATGCCAGCTAATGGTCTGCACTTGCACTAACAGAATGGAATGTCCAGGGTGTCAGTGGAACCTGGGGAGACCCTACCTTCTGGTTGCTGATGCCATGCTGATACACAAGACTGCCTGGTCTCCCCTGAAGGTCACTACTAATGGGGCCCACCCCTCAGTGGCCACTCTCAGTGGTTGTCTACCCTTGTGCTGATAGCACAGTTCCCATCTCTTTCTAAAACATTATCTCAGCTTAGTTCTCATTGTTCAATATTATGTGTGTATAAAGTCATCAAGGCAGAAATAACTTCCCAAGATGTTTTCTTTCTTTTATTTTTTCTTTCACTTTTTTTATTGATTTCAGAAAGAGCGAATGGGGGATGGGTAGAAGGAGAGAGGGTGATAAGGGCCTCAATGTCACAACCCATTAGATCATGACCCTAGCCTAAACTCAAAGGTCAGATGCTCAACTAACTGAACAGTTCAGGCACTCCTCCCAACAGGTGTTCTTAAGGGCTCTCATAAACTCAGCCCACTTCTCTTTAAGGTAAAACAGATCTTAAGGCTTTTCCAATAAGGGAAATTTTCTAAAGTCATAGATTATCATGATGTTCTTCTCTAGGTCTTCTCTGGTTTTCTTCTCTATCCATTAGAAACACAAGAGAAACATGATAGCAGTTTAGTTATCTTTAGTTGCTTTGTACTTGAAAAGCTTTTCAATTTATTTATATCTTCCTCCATTTCAATACTTTCTTAGGATGTATGTAGTAAATCTTTAAAGCAAAAACAAAGCAAAACCCCCCAAAAATCTAAAACAAAAACATGAGAAAAACCAGAGTTAGTTTATGCAATTAATTTTGGAAAACTGTTTTCTGTCCCAACTCTCTCAAAATTCTTCTTCCTGCATCTGTGTTAGGTGGGCTTCTTTTTGCCTTACGTGAATGTATAATTTCAATTTTCTTAGCTATTTTCCTAGGAGTGGAATTTCTGTGACCTACATAACCCTGTGTTTAACTTTTTGAGGAACTGCCAAACTATTTTCCAAAGCAAAGCAAGGACACCATTTTACATTCCCACCAGGAACATGTAAAAATTCCATTTCTTTCAAGCTTCCCGACATGTGTATTGTCTCCTTGTTTGAAGTCATACTAGTGAGGTGAAGTGGGATCTCACTATGCTTTAGATTTGTATTTTCCTAATGACCCATGATATTGAGCCTCTTTTCATGTATTCACTGTTGCATTGGTATTATCCTTTAGAGAAATTCTACTCAAACTCTTTTCCCCATTCTTATATTGACTGTCTTATTACTACTTAGTTGTAAGAGGGTTCTTTCAATGTATTCTAGATAGCAGACCTCCATCAGATATACAATTTGCAACTATTTCTCCCGCTCTGTGGGTTGCCTTTTAACTTCCTTCATAGGAAGTTCCTTTGAAACAAAAAAAAACTTTTAACTTTAATGAAATCCAGTTTATCTATTTGTTGTTGGGTTAGTTGTGCATTTAAGAAGCGAGGTTCTAACCCCAAATCATGAAGATGCATAAGTGTATGTTCCTCAAAACATTGCTCTTGAATGAGAACTCTCCTGGGTCTTAGTGGATGGTGGTGATTACTTAATAATGTCTCTTGTCTGTTGATTGATATTTCTCTCAATTCATATTCCTGTGCCTGTTTTCCCTCCTGTGGAACATGCCATGGCCTGTAACAGAGATTTTGGAAATGGTATCTATCAATATCCTGGCTTAGATTCAGGGGCGAGTCCTGACCTGGTCTTACCTCACTCACAGTTTCACAAATTGCTCAGGGCCTTTAGAGGTAAGTAGTTGATGATCTTTCTGAGGTACACTTAATTGTCCAGTAATCCAGATCATTCTAAGGCTAGAGTGGACTTCCTCAGTCCCCTCCAGGCCAAGAAGACTGCCAGGGTTGGAACTAGTCAAAACTTTCATCTCTGGTCTAAATGGAAAGTAGACATGCTTCAGGGTTTTGGGAAAGTTGTTCCTTACAAATTGGTTCCTCTCCAATCTTTTTATTATATACATGATTTCTTCCAACTTGTCTGTTCTTTGCCAATTGTCTGTCTGTGCTTTTAAAAATGTGTAAAGAAGAATCCAAGGTCAAATATATCCTTAGCAAAAAGCATAGTTCCTGTACACTATCAGGTGATCATACTTAATACTAGGAACTATTTTATTACCCAGATGTTATCATTTTCCTGATGAGGGAAAAAAAGACTCAGAAAGATGACAAAGCTTCACAAGGTCACAGATCTAGTGAAGAGAGGAGGGAGCATTAGAAATCATTTCTGGAGGCACCTGGTGACTCAGACAGTTAAACATCCAACTCTTTTTTTTTTTCTTTATCCATTTGTCTATTTTTTAAATTATTTTTATTATTTTTTTAAATTTTTTATTTCTTTTCAGCGTAACAGTGTTCATTTTTTTGCACCACACCCAGTGCTCCATGCAATCCGTGCCCTCTCTAATACCCACCACCTGGTTCCCCCAACCTCCCACCCCCTGCCCCTTCAAAACCCTCAGATTGTTTTTCAGAGTCCATAGTCTCTCATGGTTCACCTCCCCTTCCAATTTCCCTCAACTCCCTTCTCCTCTCTAACTCCCCTTGTCCTCCATGCTATTTGTTATGCTCCACAAATAAGTGAAACCATATGATAATTGACTCTCTCTGCTTGACTTATTTCACTCAGCATCATCTCTTCCAGTCCCGTCCATGTTGATACAAAAGTTGGGCATTCATCCTTTCTGATGGAGGCATAATACTCCATAGTGTATATAGACCACATCTTCCTTATCCATTCGTCCATTGAAGGGCATCTTGGTTCTTTCCACAGTTTGGCGATCGTGGCCATTGCTGCTATAAACATTGGGGTACAGATGGCCCTTCTTTTCACTACATCTGTATCTTTGGGGTAAATGCCCAGTAGTGCAATTGCAGGGTCATAGGGAAGCTCTATTTTTAATTTCTTGAGGAATCTCCACACTGTTCTCCAAAGAGGCTGCACCAACTTGCATTCCCACCAACAGTGTAAGAGGGTTCCCCTTTCTCCACATCCCCTCCAACACGTGTTGTTTACTGTCTTGCTAATTTTGGCCATTCTAACTGGTGTAAGGTGGTATCTCAATGTGGTTTTAATTTGAATCTCCCTGATGGCTAGTGATGATGAACATTTTTTCATGTGTCTGATAGCCATTTGTATGTCTTCATTGGAGAAGTGTCTGTTCATATTTTCTGCCCATTTTTTTATATGATTGTCTGTTTTGTGTGTGTTGAGATCAGGAACATGACAAGGATGTCCACTCTCACCACTCTTGTTCAACATAGTATTAGAAGTCCTAGCAACAGCAATCAGAAAACAAAGAGAAATAAAAGGTATCTAAATTGGCAATGAAGAAGTCAAACTCTTTCTCTTCACAGATGACATGATTCTTTCTATGGAAAACCCAAAAGATTCCACCCCCAAACTACTAGAACTCATACAACAATTCAGCAACATGGCAGGATACAAAGTCAATATACGGAAATCAGTGGCTTTCTTATACACTAACAATGAAAATACAGAAAAGGAAATTAGAGAATCGATTCCATTTACTATAGCACCAAGAACCATAAGATACCTGGGAATAAACCAAAGAGGTAAAGGAACTGTACTCGAGGAACTACAGAACACTCATGAAAGAAATTGAAAAAGACACAAAAAGATGGAAGACCATTCCATGCTCTTGGATCGGAAGAATAAACATTGTTAAAATGTCTATACTGCCTAGAGCAATCTATACTTTTAATGCCATTCCGATCAAAATTCCACTGGTATTTTTCAAAGAGCTGTAGCAAATAATCCTAAAATTTGTATGGAATCAGAAGAGACCCTGAATCACTAAGGAAATGTTGAAAAACAAAAATAAAACTGGGGGCATCACGTTACCTGATTTCAAGCTTTACTATAAAGCTGTGATCACCAAGACAGCATGGTACTGGCATAAAAACATCCAACTCTTGATCACAGTTCAGGTCTTAATCTCACTGTTGTGAACTGGAGACCCGTGTTGGGGCCCACTTGAAAAGAAAGAGAGAGAGAGAGAGAGAGAAACCATAGGCTTATGAATCATTTGGATATCTTCTTTTGGGATAAGCTTTTTTTTTTTAAGATTTTATTTATTTACTTATTTCTCAGAGAGAGAGAGAGAGAGAGAGAGAGAGAGAGAGAGCAAATGCAGGCAGAGGCAGAGAGAGAAGTGGACTCCCTGCTGAGCAAGGAGCCTGATGTGGGACTCCATCCCAGGACCCTGGTATCATGACCTGAGCTGAAGCGGTGGCTTAACTGACTGAGCCACCCAGGTGTCCCTTGGGATAGGCTTTTTAAAATATTTTTCTCATTAATATACAGGTTATTTCTCATTTTCTTTGTGATTTGTAAGAGTCTTTCATATATTTTAGATGGGTGTTTTGTCAGATATATGTTTTGAAAATCATCATTCCCGGCCTATTGATGGCCTTTTCATTTCTAAAGACTGTCTTATATGCACCCCAATATTCACAGCAGCAATGTCCACAGTCACCAAACTGTGGAAAAAGCCAAGATGCCCTTCAACAGATGAATGGATAAAGAAGATAATATCCATATATACAATGGAATATTATGCCCCCATCGGAAAGGATGAATACTCAACTTTTCTATCAACAGGTACAGGACTAGAGGAGGATATATTGAATGAAATAAGTTCAGCAGAGAGAGTCAATTATCATATAGTTTCACTTACTTGTGGAACATAAGGAATAACATGGAGGACATTAGGAGAAGGCAAGGAAAAGTGACTTGGGGGAAATTGGAGGGGGTATATAGCATGAGAGACTGAGGACTCTGAGAAACAAACTGAGGGTTTTGGAGGGGAAGGGAAGGGAGTGGACGGATGGGTGAGGCTGGTGGTAGGTATTAAAGGAGGGCATGTATTGAGTGGAGCACTGGTTGTGGTGCATAAACAATGAATCTTGAAACACTGAAAAAATAAAATTAAAAAAATAAAAACTGTCTTATTATGTAAACAGAAGAATTTGTTTCCTTTGAAGTACAATTTTTTTATTTTCTATGAAGTACAATTTAATTGATTTTTTTAAGGATTTTATTTATTTATTTATTTGACATACAGAGATCACAAGTAGGCAGAAAAGCAGGAGGGGTGGGGGTACAGAGGGGAGAAGGCTCCCTGTCAAGCAGAAAGCCTGATGCGGGGCTCAATCCCAGGACCCTGAGATCACGACCTGAGCCTAAGGCAGAGGCTTTAACCCACTGAGCCACCCAGGCGCCCCAATTTAATTGATTTTTTTATGGTGAGTGCTGTTGTGTCCTGTTTTAGAAATATTTTCCTATGCCAAGATTATGAATATTTCCTATTATTCTTTTATAAACTTTGTAAATTTTGCTTTATATCTCCAATTAATTTCAATATATGGTGGAACTGTTAATATTTACTTTTTAAAAAAATTTTTTTTGGCTCTAGTACAAGAATATGGATATATATATACACACATAAATAAAATCAAAGAACTGTACTTATTTTATGGATGTATGTTTAAATCTTTATTCTTTCACTTTGATATATTTATGTTTATTCCCACCATAC